TTTGCTAGGTATTTTTCTTACTTATAAGGAGATTAGCCCTTTGGGGTATATATGACCTGTTTATTTCTGTTTGTTGGTGGTCTCCTTGTCTTTGCTTGTTTTTATTTCATTTTGTTTTGCCACAAAAATATTTTTATAGTAAAATTTATCAATCATTTCTTTTATGGCTTCTGTTTGGAATCATAATTAGGCCTTCTTCCACTTCTAGGTTATGAAGGAATTACCCATGTGTTTTCTTTTATAATCTTTTTTTTAAACATTTAAATCTTTGATCCATTCAGAATTTATCCTGGTGTTTGGTGTGAGTTATAAATCCAGCTTTCTTAGCAGCTACCCAAGTTGCCAGGGCTGTCTTCACATAGATGAAATCGGGTAAAAATGAACATGAAAAATAGATCTGAAATTTGAGAAAAAGGGTCACAAAAGTATAGTTATGAGAGGAGGCACAGCTTAATAGCTTGAGGATGTAATAATTTTGAGCTCTAGTTTGCGCAGAAGTCTCTGGTTTCTGTTGTTGTTATTTAACTAGATGGAAGGACTTGCCCTTTTTCTGCCTCTGGCTTCTCAACCTCAAGCAAAAACCCTTTCCCACGCTCTCCTATCTTTTGCTTGATGACCCTGAGCTAAGGCACTGGGAAGCACAGTGTTAAGGAGCCGTGCCTAGGAGAAGAGCAAGAAGAATGAACAGTAGTGACGGATCACATAGCTTATTACATCATATCAGAGAACATCCCACTGTTTGTTTACACTGTCATACCCAATATAGAAGTGGACTGCTTTACGAGCAATCTCTAAAACAATAGTGCACGTAAAACAAGCACAAATTTTACTTCAAAAAGCCTTGAAAACTAAAGTAGACCTCACTGAAGTATCTTACGGGCAACTATACAATCAAACATAGAGTGAAACCTGCTAAAAATGTTCTTGAGGCATCACTCTTCCCAAGTCCCAATCCTCATGACAGCTAATCTCAAAAATACCTCTCCTATTTCTCTCTAGTTCTAGCTTGCCTCTCTCTTACCCTCTCTTCCTGTGCCCTCTAGATCTATTCTGAGAGGTGCTCCCTGCCTTTTCTTTGTAGGTCAGTCGTATCCCATTCAGTACAACCCAGGACTAGAGGCTGAACATCTCAAACATGGGCTCCTTAGGAGGCAGGGTAGAGGGCAAAGTGGAGAACAGTTATACTTAGACATTTCATCCTTATATGTTACAAAATGCTTTACTTGAGTTTGCAGTGGGACTCAAAGTGAACAAATGCCTCATTGCTGCCATCCAGGAAGAACAGGTTTAATCAGGCTCTCTCCCAGCAGATGGCAGCCTTCTCCATCAAATGGCCTGGATCATTGCATTTTTTAGCTATAGGGGGCAACGTGAGTGATGTGGTTTGTGTGCTACAGAATAAAAGACAGACATTTAAAGGGCCTACTACAGCCATAATGTTCTGATTATCTCTTAGAGGGAGCTGGTGTTCATCATTTTGCTCAAAATCCTTTAGGGACTTACTTCTGGTAGCCTTTAAATAAAAGCCAGACTCCTGCAGGACTCACTGGGATCTGGCCCAACCACAAATCCTGCTGTCCTCTCTTGCTCCCTTTCCTCCAGCCACCCTGACCAACCGTCTTCCTGTGCCTTTTGCTTGATTTCACCTCAGGACCTTTACACTTGCTGTCTGCTCTGTCTGAAATGCTTTTCCTCTCTCTCTTGGTTAGAGCCAGGATTTGGTTTTAGCCTTTATGATTCCAGAGCCAGGAGTCTTACCCATTAAATAATATTGTGGCAGAGCCCAAACTTATCTGCTTCAAAAAATACCAGTACCTGTGTTCCATCTCCAAAGACTGTGGATTTAATTGATCTAGGGTGTGACCTGGGCTCTACAATTTTTAAAAGATCTCCAAGTGTTCTTTAATGTGCAGACAAGTTTGGAAACCATTGTGATAGTTCTTTGCTTGGGACATTAGCTAATAATAGCTGCCTGAGAGCTATTCTATCCCACCAATTGCTAAGATAACATCAAAAGTATTTCTAAAATAAAGAGTGCAAGGGGTGCCTGGGTGGCTTAGTCCGTTAAGCATCCAACTCTTGATTTCGGCTCAGGTCATGATCTCAGAGTCGAGAGATTGAGCCCTTCATCAGACTCCCGCTCTGGGCGTGGGCCTCCGAAGATTCTCTCCCCTTCTCCCTCTGCTCCTCTCTCTCTCTCCCTCTCTTAAAAAAAAAAAAAAAAAAAAAAAGGAGAGAGTGCAACCTCTACCTGTGGGAGAAACTACCATGAAAGGGCAATAGGAAAAGTGTTATTCATTCATATTATCAGTATTTGTAGAAGGGTTTTTAGGATTGATTCAGTGTTATACTGACTTTCTGACCTGTGTATATAAAGCTGGGAACCAAGCTTGGTGATACACAAAAAAGCCACAGAACAAGTGTTGCATCTGTGATGGGTGACAGCATGACTGGGCACAAGGGGCGTATTTGTAGACTACTCTCCCCTTTTCCTTAGGTCTGAGTCAGTTTAGCCTTAAAAAGTAGAGAAATAGATGGGGCACCTGGGTGGCTCAGTTGGTTGGGCATCTGACTTTTGATTTCAGTCCAGGTCATGATTGTAGGGTCTTGAGATTGGGCTCCGCATCAGGTTCCATCCTCAGCGGGGAGTCTGCTCCTCTCTCTCTCTCCCCCTCTCCCTTAACCCTCCCCCGCCCATGCTCTCTCTCTCTCTCTAAAACAAATAAATAAATATTTTTTTTAAAAAGTAGAGTAATAGAAAATATCCCAATTCAAAAATTCCATTTACTATTTTTTTTTTTAAAGATTTTATTTATTTACCCGACAGAGAGAGACACAGTAAGAGAGGGAACACAAGCAGGGGGAGTGGGAGAGGGAGAAGCAGGCTTCCCGCTGAGCAGGGAGCCCGACGCGGGGCTCGATGCGGGGCTCGATCCCAGGACCCTGGGATCATGACCTGAGCCGAAGGCAGATGCTTAACAACTGAGCCACCCAGGTGCCCCCCATTTACTATTTTTTTTAAGTTTGTAACCTATCTCCTACTATGCTGCAAACTCCTTGGGAGGTGAACTTACCTTCCTTATTTTTGTTCTCTCAACACTGGCACCATGCTGCACATAGTAGAAACCCAATCAGTACTGGGTTGCTGTGTTTCCTGCAGTGCTCCCACATTGACACACTAAAATTGTAATTAATAATTCTGATCACCACTCACCTACTCTATGCAGGGTACTTTACATATATGTCACTAATCTTTATACAGGCATACCTATTACCCTCCTATCTGAGAAGGGAAACTGAGTCTCAGAGAAGTTAAGCAGTTTGCCCAAGGTTGTACGGCTGAGTAACAGAACGGGGGTTTGAGCTATATCTGTCTGATGCCAGAGCACACCCACTTTCCTTTACCCAAAATACTTAAGAGGGTAGGCAGTGGTACTTCAGAACTCTCAGATGTGATTAAAAACTCCCAAGAAAAAACCGTCTGGAACAAACTGTCCTAATGAGGCCTATTATAGTAGGCCTTTGCATAACTTAGCCTGTATGATCTCCTACGTTTTCCCACATTTAGCAAAGAACTAAACATGATTTTTTTTTTTTTCCAAAGTGGGCTCCATGCCGGGCCCTGGTGAAGGGCCTTAACTCACGATCTTGAGATCAAGACCAGCCAAGGACAAGAGTCAGACACCTAACTGACTGAGCCACCCAGGCACCCCAAAACATGATTTCTTTTAAAGATTTTATTTATTTATTTGACAGAGAGAGAGAGAATGAGCAGGGGAAGGGGCAGAGAGAGAGGGAGAAGCAGACTTCCTGCTGAGTGGGGAGCCCAATGCAGGGCTGGATCCCAGGACCCCAAGATCATGACCTGAGCCGAAGTCAGACACTCAACTAGCTGAGCCACCCAGGTGCCCCTGAACCATGATTTTTAATTTGCTTAACCATTTCTTCTGTTTTGGATGTTTCAGGTGTATCCAATTTTCCACTGATACCACAATGAACATTTTTGTGCATACATTTTTGCTATGCTTGGAATAATTTCTTTAGGGTACATTTCTTTTTTTTTAAGATTTTATTTTATTTATTTGAGAGAGAGAGTAAGCGAGAGAGAGAGCACAAGCTGGGGGAGAGACAGAGGGAGAGAGAGAAGCAGGTTCCCCACTGATCAGGGAGCCCGATTTAGGGCTCGATCCCAGGACCTTGGGATCATGACCTGAGCCAAAGGCAGACGCTTAAGTGACTGAGTCACCCAGGCACCCCTTTAGGGTACATTTCTACAGGTAGAATTAGATTAAGGAATTTGACTTATACTGCCAAATTATTTTTCATAAAGTATACTAGTTTAGGTTTCCACAGAAGTACAAAAGAGTATTCATCTCATCTTACCCATCTAGTCTCATTATCCTCTGCAAAATTTCTTTTTTGCTAATTTTATAGTTTACAAAAAATCTCATTCTTTACATTGTTTTGATTACAAGCAAGCATGAATTTTTTCTTTTGTTTATATGTCTTTATATGTGTGTCTTCATATATGAATTCAGTTTCTGTCCTTTGTCCATTCAACTTTTGACACATACCTTGGTGTTTTTCTTATTCATCTATACTTTTAAAATCTTCAGGTATTAAGACTATTAACCCTTTGTCATATTTGTCGCCAAATATTTTCATTTACTCTTCAAGTTTTAATTTTTGGCACATAGAAGTTTTAAGTTTTAAGAAGTTTTAATCTATATTATTCCTGTATATCTCTTGTCACCTTTAACTTAGATTAAAATCTAGTGAGTAAGTAGGTATTCTCTTATTTTTGCTCTAATTCAATTAAATATTTAACTCCTTGCTTTACCTGTGATTTATTTTGGTACATGGTGTGACATACTTAATTTCGCAATTCCCCTAGGTGGTTATTTTTCACAGTCTCTTTTTCTATTGATTTGTGACGCTATCTTTATAGTATCTTTGATTCTTATTGAATCTAATGTTTGCTTTTACTTTTCTTTTCGTAGATCCTGGTCCCTGTGGCATTGCAAGAAAATGGTAAGACTGTAGGTATAATACTATTCTCCCAGACTAACTAGCTGATGGGAAAGACTCAATCTGGGGCATCTGAAGGAAAAACCTATTGTGGGGGTTCCTGTGCTTTTTCTTGGCCATAAGTCCGTTTTCTAATGACAGTTCCTATGTAAAAAGGAAATGAGAGATAAAGTGATTAAGAAGTGAGATGGGGAAAGAAGATTGAGATGTAGGAGAACTCTCCTTAGATTCACCCAGTGTTTTACTTGTTTGCTAAATACTAAGTGTATGTTACATGCCAGGTCTGAACCTTTAAAGGACTTGGGGTGCCGCATTGACAATCTCATGTCACAGATTTTGTGAAGCTCCAGGTCAATATATCCCGATCTCTCCTCATCTCTATTTCAAGTACAGTAGCTAATGAAATTTCAAGAAAGTGCTCTCTATGGAAAAAAGAAAGTGTGTACATACAGTACACAAAACAGATGCCCCCTGAAAATTGATGCTTAGGGCGCCTGGGTGGCTCAGTTGGTTAAGCGACTGCCTTCGGCTCAGGTCATGATCCTGGAGTCCCGGGATCGAGTCCCGCATTGGGCTCCCTGCTCAGCGGGGAGTCTGCCTCTCTCTCTCTGACCCTCCCCCCTCTCATGTTCTCTCTCTATCTCATTCTCTCTCTCAAATAAATAAATAAAATCTTTAATAAAAAAAAAGTTATTCAAAATTTAAAAAAAAAAGAAAATTGATGCTTACTCTTTCTTTCACTAAGATGGAGTTAAAAGAGGTAACAGAGGAGAATCATTAAAGAGAAATACCAAAGATGAATATCAATGGCTCATATAGATGAGAAGTAAATAATAATAATTTTATTTGTATCCATTCTTTGAAAATGGATTAAATCATTCATATTTATTGTTAAGTAAATAATAATAATAATTTTATTTGTATCCATTCTTTGAATAAATGGATTAAGTCATTCATTTATTGTTATTATTTAACATTTACATTTATTGTTATTATTTAGAGTTTTTGGATTTTTTTAAAATTTTCCCTATCCTTAAGATAGGGAGAGATCTCTCTCTTTTTTAAGATTTATTTATTTGAGAGAGAGAGAGAGTGGAGGCACGGGGGCGGGGGGAAGGGGTAGTGGGAGAGGGAGAAGCAGACTCCCTGCTGAGCTCGGAGCCCCATGAGGGGCTTGATCCCATGAACTGAGCCAAAACCAAGAATCCGATGCTCAACTGACTGAGCCACCCAGGCATCCCTAGAGTTTTTTTGATTTCTTATTTGCTATGCTTTCTAGTTTGTTTGTTTTTTCCTCTCAATTCTTTTAGGCAATAAATAGTACCACCTTATCTTTATGTAATGCTTTGCAGTTAAAAAAATTTCTTTTTTCTCACAAGAATCCTAAGAAGTTGATAGGGCAGATATAATCAACTAGATTTTACTGAGGGAAAATGAAATTCAGAGAAATTATATCACTTTCCCAAGGTTGTATGATGGCTGAGTTAGAAGAGCTGGTGGAACTAACATTTACTGAGTATTACCAAGTACCCACTTAAAATACCACATTACTTCAAATAAATGTATGCTGGGTGAGCAGACTCTCCTGTGGCTAAATAGTGAAATAGTTTATACCTGATAAGTTTTATACTTAAAAAAGAGACTGTGAAGAGAGTGTTTTTTAAAAAAATATTTTTTCGGGGCGCCTGGGTGGCTCAGTCATTAAGCCTTTGGCTCAGGTCATGATCTCAGGGTCCTGGGATGGAGCCCCGCATCGGGCTCCCTGCTCGGCAGGAAGCCTGCTTCTCCCTCTCCCACTCCCCCTGCTTGTGTTCCCTCTCTTGCTGTGTCTCTCTCTGTCAAATAAATAAAATCTTTTAAAAAATTAAAAAATATTTTTTCTCTTATTGTTATACCACTTCTTGCTCTTGTTTGAGTGGTTAATTTGGCTTGATTCTATGAGGAAGCTATGCTATCTTTATTATTTATCCCTGTCCCTGTTGTCTAAAAAAATTCAAAGGAATATGCTGTGCCTGATTGTTATGAAAGAAAATATTTTCTGAATATAAACAACATAGTTAAATGTAAAAGAGCATTTTGACTGAAGGAGAGACTTGTTTGTATTACCACAAAAGTTCAGACCTGCAATCATTTCCATAATTATTGCTATCTAAAGGTATATTTATTGTTCTGCACCCAAGGTAAGGATTTCAAAAACTTTCTGAGCTATTGACAAACTATAGGAGACTAATAATCAATGAAGACATGGGACAGCAGTGTAATCCTCATTAAAAAAAAAAAAAATCTACTTTTAAGAGTGAAAATCCTTCAACCACATTCTTTTGTTTCTGCCCAGGACCCTGACTACACATTGTGAGGTAACGCTAGGTGTGGAAGAAGGGGGAAGCCTGTGTTAAGATGAAGAGACAGGTGGAGATGTAGTTGTGGTGACATTCATTCACACAAGAAGTGAATGAAGAGGATGGGTGTTAGACCTCCACACAGAATTAGCAAATGTTAATGAGATTATTTCCAGCTGAAGTAACAACTCAACGTGTCTACAGGAATAAACTAGGAAACTGTCATTGGTCTATAAAATGATACATTAAAAAAACATTATTTAGCTAGTGGAGAAAAGGTAGTGAGGGAAATCTTGGCTTGGAAGTGATGACAGAAGCCAGAAGCTCACTTGTTTTAAAAGATTAATGTATATAATGTATATAAGATGTTTTGTCGGCAACTCTGCCTTTCTTTTCTCTCCACTTAGCCATCCTCCCTGGAAAGTTGGCTCATGTGTGCTTACATGATGAAGCCCTTCCTCTTTGAATAAGGATGTAGATTTTTTCTTTTTTTGCAAAGGACAGTATCTTCATCGTTTCTAGATATTAACAGGCATGACTTGGGGGTTGCATCATATCAATTACGTAGCTGATCCCAAACGTTTTACCACCAAAAAATATTTTGGTTATCTCTACCCACAACCACAATTTCATGTTTTGAAAGATTTTTGTTGTTGTTTACAAAACAAACTACATTTATTAATTTTTTTAAAATTAAGGGCATATAATCAAAGCCTTCTATCAGCAGGAAGTAACATGGAGATGATATAATTCAGAAACAAATTTGGGGAAGCCTCTCCAGCCTGACTGTAGATGGTGTAGGATTCCATTTGATATTTTGAAATATTCTAAAGGTTGTGGACTTCCATTATTATCTTCATAGGTCCCTTAAGGATTTGAAAACTTTGGACTGGGAACTTGTGAATTAAGCAGCAGAGTTCTGAGGGACAAAGTGCAGATAGGTTAACTGCAGTAGCAAAGGGGGAAATTAGAAGAGTCCAGAGTATTAGACATTAAGGAAAAAAGAGGGTGGAGGTGAGGTACCATTTTTATTAACTTTAAACCTGTATTTTGTCTAGAAACCTATGCAAGTGATAAAGGTTTACTGATAGTTCCATGATTTTCCCTTATAAGGCACTTAAACTAAGCTTATATTTTCTTTATTTTTTAAAGATTTATTTATTTTAGAGAGAGCACGTGCCTGTGCAAACCCGTGCATGCGTGTTGGTGGAGGGGCAAAGGGAGGGAATCTTGAAGCAGATTCCCCAGAACATGTAGCCTGATGCAGAGCTCGATCTCTTGACCCATGAGATCATGACCTGAGCCAAAACCAAGAGTCAGGCGCTCAACCAACTGAGCCACCCAAGTGCCCCTAAGTTTGTATTTTAAACCATTAAATACCAATTCAATTCAAGTCAATTAGCATTTGCTGAGCACTGACTGTATACAAAGTGTCATACCAGATGTTGTGGGTGGGAAAGGAAAAAGGAGCTAACATTTATTGACTACTCACTCCATGGTTAGAAGTTGCTAGGCATGCAGCCCTTTGAGATGGACATATTTATAGATGAGGCTAACCCCACTGGCCTCCTGTTATTTTTCTGGGGCATGCTTCTACCCTAGGGCCTTTGCTCTTGCTAATTAACCATTGGAATGGAAAGATCTTTCCTTGAAAAATCTGTATAGGTAGCCATTGTGCAAATACAACCTGATCAGTAATGCCTTCTTGGACCACCCTATTAAAAATTGTAACCCTTTCCCCACCTCAGAGAGTTAAGTAACTTGCCCAAATATACGGAAATGACACTTCATTTTAAAATAATAAAAACCCAGGATCTCCAGTGTGGGTGCTGGAATAATAATTTTTTTTTTAATTTATTTATTTGACAGAGAGATAGCAAAAGTAGGCAGAGCGGCAGGCAGAGGGAGAGGGAGAAGCAGGCTCTCCACTGAGCAGGGAGCCTGATGCGGGGCTCGATCCCAGGAGCCTGGGATCATGACCTGAGCCGAAGGCAGCCACTTAACCGACTGAGCCATCCAGGCACCCCTGGAATAATAATTTCTTAGATGAGTAGAATTGTTGGACCGGGTGTTCCATGTCCCCAGGATTGGTTGCTGCCAGCACCACACTGGCCTCAGGGGAACTGTCCCACTGTTAACACTGTGGCCTGGTTTGTCTGCATAGAATCCCTACTTACGTTACCCCCCTTAGCCCATAGCTAAGGCAAGGTGTTAAAGGGCAAATAAATTGTAACTTAAAGGCTGAAGCAGCGCAAATGAAATTAGAGGAACATGGAAATAGGTAATCTGACTGAAGGATTTAATCCCCCTTGCCTCCTCCCACTTTTCTGAAAGGAGCTTCCTGAGGCATCAGTCACCATTTAATTAGGGAGGCCATGTCTTTCACAGAAGGATCTACTCACACTGTGTCAGGCCTGGATCCTACCTGACACCATGGCCAGGGCTTATTTTAAGACAAAAACCCCACTAAAAAAGATAACTACAGGCCAATATCCCTGATGAACATGGATGCAAAAATTCTCAACAAAATACTAGCAAATGGAATCCAACAGTACATTAAAAGAATCATTCACCACAATCAAGGGGGATTTATTCCTGGGCTGCAGGAATATATAAAACTATATTATAAGGCTCAATATTCACAAATTAATCAATGTGATACAC